CACATGGTTATAAATTATTTTGTATCTTAGCATTTAGTTTAAGCAAAAAAGATTCTTGTACTCATTATTTTATTTAGTCTGTAATAAATTGCAGCTCAATTCACGAGCTCTGTCCTGTGTAGAAAGTGAGAACTTTAAAGAACACCCCAGCAGATGGTGTCATTTGAGTAGTACATGGAGAACCAACTAGAGTATCTCCAGTTGCCCAGCAGAACACTTTTGTTTTAACTCACTTTCTTGTTACTAAAGTTGCAAAGATGGTTCTGTACCAGTTTGAATCTTGCCCTTTAAAAATACAAGTAAGTGGCAAATTCAAAGATTCCTTCAATTCATCATAATTGTACCTTCTTTTTTATAGTTCCATATTTCAGCAGCAAATTGCTACTTTTTTCCATGGCCCTGGCATGGTTTATGTTGCACAAGCATTGTTTTACACTAGCAGAACATCATTTGTACAAGTGCTAAAGCACAATTGCATGAGAACGTAAGGATGGAATTAAATTGCTTTTTATGGGTTTCACGGCCTAATTGCTTCAGCAAATAACTCAGGTTTGCAAGTAACCACAGGCTTGAAAGGCTTGTTGTAACCTTGTTGTTTGTTGTTGTTTTCTGCTCCCACTGTTCGGATTCAGTTCTCTAAAGACAAAGGATTTAAAGTTTTTTAACTTCTTTAATTCCTGGAACTCTCAAATAGAAATGCCAGGTACTGTTTGGTGGTATTTGTCCTTTGAACACTTGTTCTTCATGGCGCTCCCGATTTGGATCAAGATCATGGTGCTCTGCGAGCAGAGGAGATCCAAGATCTGCCCCACTATTTTTGTACTGTTTTAAATAAATTTTTAAATATGTATTTAACGTTTTACATAGATAATAAATACGTATAATCCACTCAGCTGCAAGATTTTGGGGGGGGGTATTTTTTTTTTCTTTTTAATCCCTACCCTACCCCATTGGGGAATATAATTTCAGGGTGAAAACAGGGAGCAAGCATAAATCCCCATGCCAGTGCACCCTGGTCCCAGTTAAGATTTAGCCTATGTGTGCTTATGCCAAGATAAATAAGCACAGTCATGCTTATGCCTGCAATGTGTGATTCACAGAACCACATGCAGTTTGGCCCTGAGACTCCCCCTGAAGTATGTTACCCTTGTTGTCTGCCTGGATACAGCTGTGGAGGAAAACACAAAATTCCATGAAATATACAAATATACAAACACTGCCATATCTAGTCTGACTGGTTCTGCTCTGCATGATTTGAAGACCACGTGGTTCAACCTGCATTTCATTTATGCTCTTCATTTAATTCAGCAGTGGAGTTTGCTTCTGTGCTACTTAATAACTAAGACTTTTTGAAACAGATGGACAAAGTGATCCACGGCTACTTGGCAGTCACTGTGTAATTATTGGAATTTTCTTACGAAATTTGCTTATTTACTGTGATTTTCTTTGGTTGTCAAAAAGTTTTTTTCCCATGTAGGAGTGAGATATCAGCGTTTACTTTACTGACTGCTTCTTAAGTTGTGTGGTCCATCTTAAATCCTGACTTAGAGGTGCAAGTGGACAGCAAAGTTAATATTTATTTAAAACATTTCTATGCCGCCCCCATCGCAACAAAGCCTCGGGGCGGCTCACCAAAAAAAAAAAAAAAAAACATTTAAAACCCTCAGTCCATTCTCGGCTAATTTAAAATCCGAATAAATACAATAATTTAGCAATTAAAATAAGTTTTAAATAAAAAAGTCTTAGCCTGGCACCGAAAAAAAAATAATGACAGCGCCAGGCGGACCTCTCTGAGGAGTGCATTCCATAGATGGGGCACCACTGCAGAGAAAGCCCTCCTCCGGGTACTCACCCTCCTAATATCATTCACAGAGGGTTCCCGGAGAAGGGCACTAATAGATTCAGTGGATTATGTGACATCAGATTTGTGATTTGCCACAGCCTACCCTGCCATAGCTGGTAACCATGGTGGTGCAGGGCAAAGAATGGTTTGGATCAGCCAGACGGCTCCTACTCACCTATCCCCTCAGTCCTTGACTTCAGTTTCAAACAGTATTGTTCGTGGGAGGACCTCTATGCTCCTGTTGGATCCCCTGGGATTACCCACAGGAGGACTGAGAAGGAAGGAGGGGACACCCTGCTCCAACACACCCAGTCATCTGTTAGGTATATCAAGAGGAGGTGGTTTTAAGCTGCACTGCATAGCTTTCTACATCTTATGGCTTATTGTGTTATGCAAACTGATTCTGTCTCTGAAGATTAGTGTGAAACCAGAGATGGGAAAGAAACAATAGCCTGAAGGGTAGGGGGCTAGTACTATGACAACTAAATTTATGGACCTTTGTCCATAATTCTTATGCTAGTTTCCAACACAATCTCTCAGACAAAATCTCCGTACTGTGTAAGGGGCCGGAAATTTTTCTTATGCAATCAATGAAATAAGGACATTTATTTAATCTCTCAATTGCCTTTCATTAGAGCTATGCAATGATGTCACCTCTTATTTATGTCCTTCTTAGAGCATCTTCCTCTTTTGCAATCTCTCCTCATCTTGCCAATTTGCTAATAACTTTCACCGCACTTTCACCACCCTTTTACTTCTCTATCTGATTTTAAGTGTCATGGGAGCGTGAAACAAATATGAAAAGTGCTTTTAAAATACTTTATATCATGAATCTCCCATCCCATATCTTTAGGAGAACCTAGAATGTGGAGAAAATCCAGAATGAAATATTAAAATGAGATAGGAGCGGGACTATTTTTTAGGTGCCTGACTTAATGTCTAAAGGATCGTATATACTCCTTTTTTCATACCAGTGTAAAAAGACAAATGCAGAAACCTGAAGCCTTGCTTTCCCATTATACTCCTTTTTGCGTAGGCAGAGCTGTCCAAATATTCCTCTACCCTATCCAGGACTGCTAGAATTGTGTGAAACCTTTGCACCAGACAAACTTCATTTGCAAAGTACAACAAGTGCATATTATTTTGTATACTACTATTTTAAAAAATATACTATTTTACTACCTAGTTACTCTTCCAGCACTAACAGTTGGGTTACATCCATCCACACTCTCTTCCTAGTTCTTCTACTTGTTTTTTTCTGATGTTGGGAGAACATTTCTGTGTGTTGGAGGTGATATTGTATAGTTTGGACATGCTACAGTTTTTTTTTCCTTACTAGTGTACTTTTATTTTGTTAATTAGTTAAAGGTATCTGTCAATATCGTAGTCTCATTTTTCTTCTTCACTGAGAAGGCAATTGTAACACCTTTGTATTCAATAGCCATCATTCAGTTTTAGTGGGCAGGTAAAGCACTGAATTTGGAAATAACCTCTGAGTAGGGGACAGCATTTCCTGCTACCAGTTCACCTGGAGGTCACAAGTTCTTCACAAAGTGCATGTAAAAAACAGCATGATGGCAAGAGCTCAGCTGTAGTACATTCTTGTGCATGTCTATTTGGAAGTAAGTTTCACTGAGTTCAGCAGAGCTTAGTTCCAGGTAAGTATATACAGGAATGCTAAAGTCTATTTCAGATCTCACCTTTGTTACAAGTTCTCTAGATTGGTATGAGCACAAGGTAGATTTGGATCTACTGGTAGATCTTGAACTAGTTTGAGTCGCCAAGGATTTATGTCTCACCAGCCAAATCTAAAAATCCCTCCCTCCCTCCCTCCCTGCCTCTCTCTCTCTCTCTCTCTCTCTCTCTCTCACACACACACACACACACACACACACACACACAGAGAGAGAGAGAGAGAGAGAGAGAGAGAGAGAGAGAGAGAGAGAGAGAACGCGCTAACATGAAGAAAGTTAGAGGTGATCAGGAGTGGATTTTTGTATGGAAGGGGAATGAGCTCCATTCAGTTTTGATACTCAAAAATAAATTCCTGGGCTCAGAAGCACTAACTGCTTGTCTATCACACCAACCTCTGGTTGTTGAATAGTGGCATTCTAGTATGCTCCACAAACCTGAAATCTTTAAGCCAGCTATTAACCCTCAGTTCTGCTTCCCCATTAGACCCATGGAGCTGATAATACTAGTCTTCCTTCATTGCTTCAGTAATCTTTACAAGAGCTATGTATGTAAAATGCTTTGTACACTCAGAAAAGATTCTGTTTGAATGCAAAGTACTATGTGATTATAAGAGCATTCTTTTCTAAGAGGATATATAAAAGTGTGACAGGCCCTCAGTGGCAGATAATGTATTTTGTGTGCAGAAGGTCCCAGATTCAGTCCCTGGCATCTCCAGGTAAGACTGCAGAAGGCTCCCACTTGTGACTGCAGACCATAGCGAGGACCGAGATGAACCAGCGGACTGATCTGGTATTAAGTCACTTCCTATGCTTCTAAGCTGGTAATTTTGTGATCTGTTTGAACAATGCATCCTTGCTTCCAGCAGCTCTGGCCTACATGCGGAATGAGTTCCACTGCCACACTGCATTCATGAATATGCTGCATGTTCCCCATAAGAGGTTCACACACAGTTTCCTTTGGAGCGTTGTGTCATGGCAACTCATTCAAAATGTTGCTAATAATCTCCAGTTTGGCACCATCTTTCTGAATTGAATGGACTATGGGTTGGATACTCTGCCTCTGCCAGAAGATGATCGCAGATGTTTTTATTACATCTCCTTTTCTACTTACCCAGCCTCCACTCCCAGGGATTCTTCATATCTGTTAAAGCCACGTTGATTGATGGCTTTCAACATTTATTTAAAGAGTTCCATATCTTTCATTCAGTACCGGGGGGGAGGGGGGAGAACTAAGTGGGTAGAGTAAAAGCTTATAATGCAATTGTCTTTCCAGAAAGAGAGAGAGATTTCTTGAGCTCTTTGTTCCAGCTAAGAATTAAAGTGCTGATCAGCAGTTCTGCCAAGAGCTGGCTAAACCATGCAGGACACAGAAATCATGATGTAATCTTCCTATTTTTGCAGGCAGTGTAGTGACTCTCTCTAGCCCTCTCTCTCTCTCTTATTGTTTGTTGTTTCTATTTTAGGGTGTGAACGGAATGTCTGTGGATGAGAAGACTGAATCCCCCATGTATGTGTATGAGTCAACAGTCCATTGTACCAATATCCTCCTGTGCCTCAATGACCAGCGGAAGCAGGATATTCTCTGTGATGTGACTTTGATTGTGGAGGGCAAAGAGTTCCGAGCCCACCGGGCTGTGCTGGCTGCATGCAGCGAATACTTCTTGCAGATGTTGGTTGGGCAGACCGAAAATGACCTGGTCGTCAGCCTGCCGGAGGAGGTACAGTATGCCGTCATTCCTCTCTCATTTAACAACAAAACCTTCTTGCATGGTAGCCGAGACAGCAAACGAGTGAGTAGGCCCCTATCTATCTAGTCAGTTGCTTGAGAATTGGTTAAACGTGTCCATTCTAAAAGGATAAACCTTAAAGCCCTGTCGTGTGTTAATCCTAAGAGTACAGTAGCAAATGATGCAACCTTCTAATCTGCAGGAACCTGTTAGGCAAGAGTATGGCATCATTAAGGAAGGAGAGAAGCAGGAAAGGATCATAGGAACTGGGCAACATGGACAAAACTGAACGCACTGAAATATTCTGCAAAAGGTTTTGTGATGCTTTACTACCCCAAGGCAAATTGTATTCATCTTGGAGAAGCAAAAGATCCCAAAACAGTTCTTACTTGGAAGCCCCAGTGGCACTTCTTTTAATCCCAGTCTTCCTATTGACTGGAATAAACAAACAGGAAGTGTCCCAGTACCAAACATTTAAGATTTCTTGGAATGCTTATATGTCCTGCTGCTTTTTGTTTACACAAAGAATACTGTAAATGCCAACTGACTGAACGTTAGCGATATAGTTTGCAACCATGTTGGCTTTAGTGGCCTAGAGCTTGTCCAATCTATGGGAGTCAGAAATCCAACTCTTGGTGCTCTTTTCATTACAGATTTGCATAGATACAGATCTTCAACATAGTCCTTTTAGAACAGCCTTCCCAAACATGGTAACTTCTATATATTTTTGTCTGTAACTCCCACTGTCCCTGACCATTGGCTGTGATGACTGTGACTGTTAAAAGTTGCCATCCTAAACATCTGGAGCACATCAGGTTGGGAGCTGGATTTTTCTCTTCCTGAAGATTGGACAGTCTCAATCTTTTGCTGGAGGAAGAGCCAGAAGGTGATGTGAATATTTACACGTGATCTGTAGGAGCCAACATGAATTGGCACTTAACAAAAAGCAACCAAAATGAAGAGGACACTCAGCAGGGTTTCTCCCAAGCACAGGAGGTGGTGCTTTATCAAGAGAACAGTCTCCAAGCCCAGACTTTATGGGTCAAGATGGGTCACTGGGACTCTTATTTGGTTACAAGTGGTTGGATGACACTTGAGAATAATTGAAAGAACATGCTTATAGCTTCTCTGCAGGTACTTAGTATGAGACAGCTTTTAAGTGTCTCAAAGCAGCCTTACCATGTTGACAGATTAAATTCCTAAAGAAGGCAGACTTATTCTTGCTTTAGTCATTAGATTATTGTACTATATACAGTTGGGGCCTAAAGGTTTATTTAAAAATATACATTTCTAAGCCTTGTAGTGGCACATGAATTGTATCTAGACTTGCAATTGTACACATGGCAAGGTACACCCCTGCATGAATAAGCACAGAATCATTGAATACTAACGTTGGAAGGGGCCAAGAAGGCTATCAGGTCCAACCCTCTGCTCAGTGCAGGACTCCAGGTTAAACCATCCCTCTAGGACAGCTGTCCAGTTGCATCTTGAATACTGCTAGCATGGGAGAGCCCACAACTTCTCTAGCTAATTGGTTCCATTGTTGTATTGCACTAACAGGAAGGTCTTCCTGATGTTCAGCTGGAACCAGGCTTCCTGTAACTTCAGCCTGTTATTTTCTGTCCTGCATTGAGAGATGATCAAGTGGAGATCCTGGCCTTTCTCTTTGTGACAGCCTTTCAAGTACTTGAAGAGTACTGTCATATCTTCCTCAGTCTTCTCTTCTCAGGACCAAATACACACAATTCTTTCAGTTTTTCCTCACAGGGCTTTGTTTCCAGTGGTCTGATCATCCTTGTTGCTATAGTGAGCTAGGTTTTCCACCCTTCACACATTCAAGGCAATAGACTGTTCCTTTGCAAAAGATCTTTATTCACCAAAGTGTATCCAATGAACTCAATCACCACAGGATGCATCTCTGAGCATGCACAGAATGGCTTGTTGAACCCAATCTAGCCACTACTTCCAGAAACCTTCTCTTTGAGTGTGCCTGGACTCCAACCCTCTGGGGGTGCTTTTGGAGGTGAACACAGCTTTTCTTTGTATGTCAATCCTTCACTTGTCTTCTCCCAATGCTGTGTCATGGGATCAAGAGTCGTACCAACTTCATGTGGCACTGAGAACTCCTCTCCAGTGCCCCTCTTGACAGTTGTACACCTTGGTTATTCCCAAGCTTGCCTCGGCACCTGGAGAGAGTGGCCTTGAGATAAGCTCTTCTGCTACTCCCATCTCAAAGTCTGAAGCCCCAAGTCCCCAGGCTGCCTCCACCTCCTTCTCTGCTTCTTCTGACTCAGTGTCCAGATCAGTGTGACCTGGGACTGTGCACCAAGAAAACTGCCCCTTTCATTCCCAACAGTTTCCCACTAAACCCTTTCCAGCTTGTCTGCCTCTTTCTTAAACTTTGGTGCCCAGAACTGGACACAGTACTCCAGATGAGGCCTAACCAGTAAAAGAAACTAGTACTTCATAATAGGGAAGTGATACTTCTATTAATGTGTTCCAAAATAACATTTGCCCTTTTTGTAGTCACATCACATTTTTGACTCAGGATCAGCTTGAGATCTACAACAATTCGAATACCCTTCTCACTTGCAGTATTGTTGAACCAAGTGCTCCCCATCTTGTACCTATGCATTCAGTTTCTTTTTTCTAGCTGCAGAACTCAGTGTTTGTCCCTATTAAATTTTATTCCTGTGTTTTCAGCCCAGCACTCTAACCTATCAAGATCACTTTAAATGTTGTTTCCTGGGTTTTAGCTATTTTGTGTCATTTGCAAATCTGATAATCATTCCTTGCACTTCCTCATCCAAATCATTAAAAAAAATGTTGAAGAGCCCTGGACCCAGGACTGAATCCTGTGGTACCCCACTTGTTACCTCTCCCCTGTGTGAGAGGTGCCATTAATGAGCACTCTGTGGATCCCCCTGATAGTTGCTTGATCTAGCCCTTTTTAGCTAGTTTGCTAATCAGGGTAACATGGGTCACTATGCTGAACTCAATGTATATTGTGTCCACAGCATTCCCACTGTATCCCAGGAAGGTTACTCAATCAAAAAATGAGTTGTAGTATAAGAATCATGACACAGAAATTTATTCTGGGCTGATGAAATGCTTATTCACAAGCTTCTGCCTTAGGCTTTTCTAATCGGCCCAGGAAAAGATACTTGTGCAGCAGGCAGAGCTGCCTTGAAAGTTCAGCAGTGAAGAGAGATTCAGCCAGGCTTCCAGCAGCTGGAGACTGGAGAACATGTTTGTTGTTTGGCTTCCTTCATTTCATTGTCATACCTGCCTTCTGCTACCCTTCTTATGCAGGTTTGCCCTATAGGAATATTGCCCTTGAGAAATTCCTTTAATTCCTTTGTAACTAAGATACCGTAATTGGAATAAATTATGCAAATGAATAATTATTCAGAGTAATAAAACTCCAAGGCCACAATGATGAGCAAATATGTTAGTCTTCTGACTATGTATGTTCTGTATTTTGGAAGGGATCATGAGTTTTTCATGGTGTCCATTAAGGCACACATCTGGAAATTCCTCCATGGCACAGAGCATACCTCGGATCCTTCCAGAGTTTAAAAAGAAGCAGAAACTGGCATACCCATCCATCATCTCAAGGGCTTATTTCTTTTCTGACTGCAAATTCCTCAGAACCAGAAAGTGCATTCTTGCTCAATTTTCTTCTGATTCTGGCAAGAACAGCAGCTTTGAGGACTTCATCTTGTGATGGGTAATCATGAGAGTGTTTGAATGACATAGATTTGTTATGAATATGAGGGAGATGGAGGGTAATTTCATCAGGGCTTCTCTTATTTATTTCTTTATGTTCTGCTTTTCAAAGCAAAAAACCTCTTTTGGCACACAAGAATATTAAGGGACCCTGTTGTTTGTTTTTAAGGTTGATTGTAGTTTTGCTTTCTTACATGGCACAACAAAGTTCTTTTAAGAAGTGCTGCTTCTGAATAGAGAAATGCCCTATTTCTGACATATATGGACATTATTTACTCTTTCTGGATAGAGGCTGTGGATTTCTGTGGTGCACTTTCTGAAGCTTTTCATGGAATAAGACTGGGATAGACAATTTGGTTCCTTCTAGATGTTTTGGACTACAACTTCCATAAGATTGGCTATAATTCAAAGCAAATTCTCTGAACAAAGTGTACCTACCCAACTGCCAAGCAAGGGCCTGCTTGTTATTTGATAAGCTATTTTTGAAATGCGTGTTTCAGCAGAAGTTTACAATGAAATTCAGAGGGAAATTAGGAAATGGTCTTACAGCTTGCAGTGAGCCCATTTACATCAATCAGTTATGGCTGTCCAGTTACGTAAATCTTGAATGTTTCTAGTGTGAGAGAGCCCATGACCTCCCTAGGTAATTGGTTTCATTGTTGTACTGCTCTAACAGACAGGAATTTTTTTCTGCTATCTAGCCAGAATCTGGCTTCCTGTAACTTGAGCCCATTATTCCATGTCCTGCACTCTGGGAAGATCAAGAAGAGATCCTGTCCTTCCTTTTTGTGATAACCTTTCAGGTACTTGTAGAATGCTACCATATCTCCTCTCAGTCTCCTCTTCTCAAGGCTAAACATGCCCAGATCTTTCAATGTCTCCTTACAGGGCTTTGTTTCCACTCCCTGGATCATCCTTGTTAACCACCTCTGAATCCTTTCTAGCTTGTTTGCATCTTTCCTAAACTGTGGTGTCAAGAACTGGACACCATACTCCAGATGAGGCCTAACCAGTGCTGAGTAAAGAGTAAACTAGTACTTCACATGATTTGGAAGTGATACTTCTATTAATCCAGCCTAAAATAATATTTGCCCTTTCTGCAGCCACATCTCTTCTTAAATCCAAGTTTCTCTTACATTCCCTTGCTTAGTGAATTTTAGTCAAGTGTTAAAGTTTGGCCTACAGGAGACAACTGCAGTGCTGCTCACATTTAACCATATTAGAGATTATTTTTACTGAGTCTCATGCTTTTATGCCTCATA